CCTAACAACAACAACAACATTGACAAGTTGCATCTTTTGTGGGGTTTACGATAGTAGCTCCTCTTGCTCATCAGGGTCTGTATTGTATCTCAGTTTAAACTGCAGAGAGTCATAGGAGATGAACTAGCCATTTACTCAGCCATTGAAGTTCCACATGCTGGGCACACTCCCTGAACTTAGGCAGGTGACAACTTCTATTGAGGACTCAGGCAGCAACACCCGTGCCTTGGGGAATTTTCCCTCTAATCTCAATCCTTTGAATTACCATGTCAACCTCTCAGAAATACCACTTTTTTTTCTGGTTCCCAGTTGCCTTACTATTTTTAAAACACTTGACTTTTCAATGTGGATATCTTGAATGGTATAATTCCCCTAAGAGTGTCCTTAATACTCCTTGTTGATTGGTTTGTGATATATCAGATGCCGTTACAATGCCAGGCAGTGGGATAATAAAGAAAGCATAGTTTTCATGGATCTTCATGAGGCTGACCGAGTGCTCTTATGTCTTACTCACAGCAACGAATTACCATTGAACCAGGGACATCTTATCGGCTGCAGGGGCTGAAACCAAACAGCTTGTACTATTTCCGTCTGGCTGCCCGCTCTCCTCAAGGCCTGGGCGCTTCTACGGCTGAAATATCAGCTAGAACCATGCAGTCAAGTAGGTGTACCTCTTTGTTTATTTCTTGCCCTCTCTTTCAGTTGAGGTCATTGCCAGTTGTCACACCCTCTCCCCTGAAAGCAAACCTACTAATATGCGTGGATCGCTGATCTCTAGGCTCATAAGCATCCGAGGCTGGAGCTGAGAGTCTAACCATGACCTATGTTGATTTCACAGTTGATCCAAGGGATAGACCCCCTTCTTTTGCTTTCTAAACAAGAAGGTTTTCAGAGATGCTAGAAGACCTCCAGGAGAGAAACAAATGAAAGGAGGTAGATCCAGCCCCCTTTGAGAAATTATAAGTTTGTAAAGCAAAACTCAGGTTGGGAAAACCACAAAATAATTAGAAGGGAGCTCAACCAACTAAAAAAGGTAGCCAAAATGTTTATCTTTTAAAGGATACCGAATGTAAGTTTACAAACCAAGCCACCAGCCTTGATTTTGCCTGTTTGTTCCTACTCAGAGAACAACTTAGTTCTTGTGATTGGTTATTAGCTCTGAAAGTAATCCGTGTGAAAATTTAGAACATTCACAGAAAATCTGTGTTGGGGCAAACTTAGAAATAATGGAATAATCAGAATTGCAATCCAAAATTGTGATGGAGATTTGCAATCCAAAATTGTGTTTTGTTTCACTGGGGTCAGTTGCTTTTTGGAACTGTTTTCCTAGAGAGCCAGTTGTGCTTATCACAGCCGGGGCTCATTGTAGCCAAAGCAGATGGTTTGTGTAAAGTGCTATAGGGAAGGTTGTTTTTGAATGAAACTTTGGTCATTTATAATGCTGGTGTTGGCTCTTTATTATTAAGGTTTTACAATTCGTCTATTGAATAACCATTTACTTTGCATTGAAGAGTTTTATGGCATTATTTCCTTCAATTTTGTTGTGGGATACTTTATGCTTTTTAACCTAGTGACGTGTAGTTTTATATATAAATATGAATGCATTCAACTGATGTTGTTAAGTGCTGTCGAGTCAGTTCTTACTCATAGTGACCCTGTATGTGGTTTCCAAAGAGCAGATGATGTATTTGAACCACCAACTTTGCAGTTAGCTTATTGTACAGCACTACAACAGGACTCTTTAAACCTGTGACATTTACATCCTTTTCTGAAATGAGGTTCTTTTAACATAAGTCAGATACTATCAATTTAGAGAGAAGCTGGAAATGTTTCAGGATTTTTTAATGAGAAAATTCATAGTTCCACTTCTTTAAAAAAAAAGTTATTCATGTGAAAATTATTAGGATTCTGTTGCTTAATCTATTCATGATTATAGTTTATTCCTATAAAATGTACTTTCCTTTAAAACTGAAGCATATAAATTAATGCAATTGCCGTATGTCTGCTTAGAATCCCAGGCAGGCTAAGAAGTGATACTATAGAAGATCATTTCTTAAAATCAGGCATTTAATTAAATTTAAATGTGACATGCTTCAGTATATTTTTTCATGGCTTATGAACCTCACTAATCCTACATAATACATATGAATACATACAGATAGGATAGGCTTTGATGGTGGTGGTAGTGGTACTGTGCCGTGGAGTTGGTTCCAACTCATAGTGACCCTGTGTAGGGTTTCTGAAGTTATAAATCGTTGTTGTTGTTGTTGTTATGTGCCGTGGAGTCGGGTCCGACTCATAGCGACCCTGTACAGGGTTTCTGAGGCTGTAAATCTTTACGGGAGCAGAAAGCCTCATCTTTCTCCTGCAGAATGGCTGGTAGCTTCAAACTGCTGATCTTGAGGTTAGCAGCCTGACTCGTACCCACTACGCTACCAGAGCTCTTTATGGGCTTTTGTTAACCACATTAAAACTCATCTGCTCTTTATTTTACCAGAGTAAAAGTTCCAGACATTGTTGAATGCATTCCTGCAGAATTAGGGGTCTGAAAGTAGCAATTCAGTGAAAACCAAATCAGGTGTTTTAAAAGAATTACAAATGAGTCCTTGCTGTTACATAAGCAACTGAATTTATTATGAACACTGAGAATGCATATCAAATTGCCTTATAATTTGAGATAAAAGAACCTCTAGCAGAATCCATAATAATGATATACTAGTGATTTTGCAAATCTCATTCTAAACTGACAAGGCTGCCCTATGGGGATTTCTTTCTTGTTGGCTTAGAGTGGTCTTCCTTTTAATTTACTACAAGGATGACCACAAGGCAGGGAAATCAGGGAAGACTGGTAATCCTCTAAACAGTTACTAAACCTGTTACTCCATAGTATTAATTCCAGAAAGTTGAAGGGAATTCCCAAATTAAACATTTGAATGAGAAGAACTAAGTGTATATCACTCTTCTGCCATGTAGATTATTATAAAAAGAAATATCTATCTTTCTCTCTCTCTCTCTCTGTATCTATCCGTATATCTAATTTAACTTGTTTGTTCCCCTTCATGAGCATTTATTGTCAACTTTAAAAACAATTTACAATGCTAGCTAGCTACATTGTTCTTTATTGCCTTCTAGTTTGTTTTTTCCTAAATAATAATATATTTGGTTAACTGTATGGAAGGTAACTGGTTTATTTTTAAATGGGCAGTAAGAAACTACAGCTTTTAAATCATATATAAACCCTATTGCATTTGTACAAAGTGAAACAGCATTTGCGCATATGTCCTATCTTTCTAGATGATTCTCAGCATGGTTGTTTTTGTTGTTGTTGTTCATTTGTTTGTGTTAAACAATTCTTTTGAATGGCTGTGTTGTTGACCTTTTATAAGGGATAGATGATGGCAATTGACTTTTACCAAAATTTGCTGGTGGGCTCTAATTTTTCACTAGCAATGGTGTGTCCAGAAGAGTTATAATAAAACAGCTGAAAGCTGACGTAGGGTAAGTACAAGTTACAGTCAGAATCCACAAGCCTGCCGTTACCCTCGGTAGGTAAACCTCGGACTCTGCATTTTAAATCTCTGTTGATTCTGCATGCTCACTGTATACGGGCTACATTTCACGTAAGGCTAACATGTCTCATTAGAACCGGTCAGAACGACGCAGGGTTTCAGAAAGTTAGAGTGAAACCTTGTTTGATTTTTGGGGTTTTGATTTGTTTTGCTGTTATTTTAAAAAATTGGAACTTTGCAGTGACTGCAACATTCCACAGTTAAGAACTCTTTGCAAATGAACACTGTATGAATCGTCCTCATTCTAGAACGTAGCTGTTGCGACTCGGAACAACATGTGTGAAGCATCTTCCAAGTGTTGAATCATAAAACTTGACCTCTTTGCGGCTTTCATGAAGTTGGGTAGTCAGTATAGTTGAGTGGGAGGGAGATACTGAGAGATTGTTTTAGAAGAAGAATGTAAACCACAGGTAGGTAATTTTATTTGAGGCGCCATTTATCTTGAGATTTCATTTTCTCACTTTTCCCCCCACTCATTATTTAACATTTATTTTGGTTCATTTATTCATGTTTTTGGTTTATTCATGTGACTAAGCCAAGGTCCACAAATGTATCTAAAGTTTTTTTTTTATGTTTCAAAGTCTTAGTTTTTGTTTTGCTGCCCTTCTTTGTTCATTTATTTATTTTCGCCTTTTCTTTTGTTTTATCATTTTGTTTTGTTTTTTCCCCCACCCACTCCTGTCCTTTCACTCAAATCCTCCTTTAACTCACTACCAAAATAAGAGCCGTCCGCTCCTCCGCAAGACATTACTTGCACCAGCCCAAGTTCCACTAGCATTTTGGTAAGTTGGCAACCACCGCCCGTGGAAAATCAGAATGGCATTATCACCGAATACTCCATCAAGTATACCGCCGTGGATGGGGAAGATGACAAACCTCATGAGATTTTGGGAATTCCTCCGGACACTACCCAATACCTTTTGGAACAGCTGGAAAAATGGACTGAATACCGGATCACTGTGACAGCCCACACGGATGTTGGCCCTGGCCCTGAGAGCTTATCCATGTTGATTCGAACCGATGAAGATGGTATGTTTCCTCTGCTACGTCAGCTTGCACCCTCTGACACACAGTCTTGCCATAGGCTAGCCGGTCTCCATTTTTTCTCTGCTCATATTTTTGACCCAGCATTGCTCTTTCTTCAATATTTTTGCCAAAGACCTGTCTTTGCTACGACCTGGGCTTTTTTTAGTTTTTGTTTTTAATTTTCAATCTCAAACACAGTCATTTGCTTCCTTTTAAAAGAACAGTTTATTACTATGGCCTTGCAAACCAGCTCTTTGTCTGTACCTCCAACTAACGTCTTCTATGTTTCTCGTGGCTTTTGGTGGTCACTTCCTTTTCTTGAATTTTGGAGCGAACTTTTCAAAATTGCCGCCTTCTTATTACCTTTTTTCTGGCGTATTTTAGAGACACTGATGCTCAGCATTCAGTTTTTGGCATCTATTGTATGGAATACCTTTGACATGAGAAAAAAAGAGAGAAGACATTCTATATAATCAAGCATCTTTTTATTCTGCTATAAAAAAACAAACCTTTAAAAAACACACACACAACAATCAACAACCAGTTTTTGTTATTATTTCAATGCTATACCTCTTTGTGCTTTAATGCTTTGAATTTCAAAGCATCTTCCTTGGCTTTTGTACATTTTTACATGTTTTTTCTATTTCTCTGATACTCTTTTTTTCTTCCATTTTTTTTT